GTCCAGCTTAGCGCAGCGCTAAGCAGATCAGAGCGGGACCTCGCCAACCCTGGGGGGCTGCGATCTGCGAAATTGCCGTCACTCTCGAAGGCTGCTAGGGGGGATCCAGCCTAGTGCGGTTCTACGCAGATCAGAGCGGTACCTCGCCATCCCTAGAGGGCTGCGATCTGCGAAACTGTCGCCACGTTCGACGGCTGCTGGGGGGTCCAGCTGAGCGCGGTTCTACGCAGGTCAGAGCGGGACCTCGCCATCCCTGGGGGGGGGCTGCGATCTGCGAAACTGTCGCCATGTCCGAGGGTTGCTAGGCGCGCTAGTGCGGTGCTACGCAGATCGAAGCGGGGCCTCGCCATCCCTGGGAGGGTTGCGATCTGCGAAACTGGCGCCACTTTCGAGGGCTGCTGGGGGGGGCAGCTGAGTGCGGTGCTCGCCTCCGACCTCGCCATCCCTGGGGGGCTGCGATCTGCGAAACTGTCGCCAGCTTCGAGGGCTGCTGGGGGGTCCGGCTGAGCATGGTTCTACGCAGGTCAGAGCGGGACCTCGCCATCCCTGGAGGGGGCTGCAATCTGCGAAATTGCCGCCCTCTCGAGAGCTGCTTGGGGGGAATCCAGCTTAGCGCGATGCTGCACAGATCGGAGCGGGACCTCGCCATCTCTGGGGGCTGCGAATTGCGCAACTGTCGCCTTTCCCTGGGACTGCTGGGGGCAGCCTCAGTGCGGTGCTGCGCATATCCGAGCAGTGCACCTCGCCATCCCTGAATGGGTTGCGAAGTGCGAAACTGACGCCACTTGCAGGAGATACAGACGTGCTGGCAGCTCGCGAGTCGCGCAGCTGGCAAAGATAAGTCCGTGTCACATCATCACCCCCTATAAACTATTCCCAGCTCTTATGGCCACACGTTGCGCAAGGGTTGGGTACATCGTCAGGGAAATTCTGTGAAATCAGATCACAGCAGTTCTGAGCAATGCAAAAGCAATGCAATGCAGTTAATTACATGGCATTGCTTCGCATTCCTTAGCATTGCTTGGTATGTATTCGCATTGGTTGGCATTGCTTGACGTCATTTACAAGTGCTTCGAAACGTTGCTTGCATATTAGCTTGGCGCTACTGGGCAATGTTTGGCGTGGCTTGGCATTGCGTGGCATCGCTTGGCATTGTTTGGCATTGCTGAGCGGAGTTTGGCATTGTTTGGCATTCCTTGGCATTCCTTGGCATTGCTTGACGTTGCTTGGTATTGCTTGGTATAGATCGGCGATGATGTGCATTGCTTGGCGTTGCTTGGCATTGCTTGGTAGTTGCGTGGTACTGCTTGGAATCGATGCTTGACATTGCTTGATATTGCTTGGCGTTGCTTCGCATTGTTTGGCATTGTTTAGCATTGCTTTGCGTTACTTGGCATTGCTTTGCATTGCTTGGCACTGCTTGGCGTTGCTCGGCAGTACCTGGTGACGTCGCTTGGCGTTGCAAAGTGCTGCGTTGCTTGCGTAGCTTAATTTTGCAAAGTGTTCAGAAGTGCTTGTAACCGTTGCTTTGAATTGCTTGGCATTGCTTGACGTTGCTTGGCATTGCTTTGCATTGCTGGGCACTGCTGCTCATTGCTTTGCTTTGCATTGCTTGGCAGTGGTTGCGTTGCTTGGCATTGCTTGGCATTGCTTGCTATTGCTTTGCGCTGCTTTGCATTGCTTGGCATTGCTTGGCGTTGCCTGGCATTGCTGGGTCCCAGGCAGTCCCGAGAGCAACGCCCAGGGCCGCCCGGGCAACACCGGGCAACCCGTGGCGACCCTGGGAGACGCCGCTGGGGAAAGGCCTCGCGCCCATAACCAAATGAGCGACGATCAGAAGCAGGCCTCACGCGAGATGGCACAGCGACCTTACGCTGCGGCTTACGCGGGCCGCCGGCGCGGCACGCCACATCGGAGACGGGGGCGCTTACGCTTGACCTTACGCGGGCAGCTTACGCGCGAATGTCGGCGCAGTCGAACCCGTGTTTTTTTGCGTCGCTCAAATAAATCCCTGAGGCAAATCAGCATTGGAACAAAAAAAAAGAGCTGCACCTCCAGCCTTGTGACTGATGGCACCTGTAAAGACGAACGTGCGCGACGATACGGGGAGACCCGCGTGTTGAAAGCGGCCCGCCCTCCAGCCGTGCAACTGCTGCAGAACTATCAAGACGAAACGTGCGCGGCGCCGGGGCGAGAACGGCATTTCGGAAACGGCCCACCCTTGACCCTGGCAACTACAGGAAACTGTTGAAACGAATGTGCGGCGCTGAAGCGAAAGCCACAGCTTGAAAGCGATCTGCCCTCCATCCAAGTACAGTCGGCCCGTACCATCAGGATGCGCAATAAGGACGCACAGGCCTTGGACGCCCATGCGGAAGCTTCCCGAGCGGGGTGCGGCCAACCGAAGTGGCGAAGGATGGACCGAGGAGGCATAGGTGCAAGGGTACCAGTGGGCAGGTTGCCCATCCTTACTATGCGGGTTGACTGTACCTGTTGGGAACAGCAAGCTTTCCGGTTCAAAAGGAGGTGCGGAAGTCTCGAGCGATCCGCCCAGCCCGCTGGCACGTCTGGTGATGCAACGAGGAAGAATTAATCATTCGAAAGAGGAATGGAAGAGGAGGAGGAGGAGGAGGAGGAGGAGAAGGGGAGGGGGAGGGGAAGGGGTAGGGGTAGGGGGAGGGGGAGGGGGAGGGGGAGGGGGAGGGGACGAGAGGGAAAGGGAGGGGGAGGGGGAGGGAGAGGGAGGGAGGGAGGCCTTCAGAACGCCGCGGTCGCCCCCCTCCTCAAGCCGCGCTCCCTGAACGCCGCCTTGCGGCACTTGAGCTTCTCGCGCTGCCTGCGCTTCTTTTCGCCTGGATCGCGCCCTCCACATCCTCAACCTCCTGCCCTTCATCCTCACCCACCTCCTTCTCCTCACTCCTCCTGGAGACCTCCCACCTTGGACTGGAGTGATTAAATTGGGCGGGAGAACCGCATCGCGAGGCCGATGCACCCGCGATGCCCTAGCGATGTCGAGGCGGATGAATCGGCGATGCGCGCGATCCCCCGCCCCTCTCCTCCGGCAACCAGCTGGGCGACCTGGATCGCACTGGTCCAGAGGATCGACCATCAAAGTTTGTGAACGCGTCTGCCACTATCGATGATCCTCAGAACGTGTGTTAGCGCCAACGTGCGATTGTCCACCGAGGCCCTTCAAACGACGCAGGCGGCTCAACGAGGGCCGACACAGGCTGCAGACGCTATCGGCGGAGCCGAACGGGGTCGCACACACACACACACACACACACACACACACACACACACACACGCTTGGGCGAGCACACGTCCTGAGGATCACTCAGGCGCGGCCTGACCGACGCCTAGCAAACCATCCCCCTCCGTGACGTCAACCTCGCCTGTCAAGCTTCCCTCCGGCCGCATACATAGAGGCCTCCTTAATGGGGTCAGAGTAGATGAGGTCGGAGGATCGCGCCGCATCGCCAACACATCGGCGTTGCATCGGCGACGTCCCGGCGACGCTGGCGCAGAGACAATCGGGCTCCACATCGAGCCGCATCGCCGATGCAACGGCGACACGGGGCGATCCTCCGACCCCATCTACTCCTACCCCACACGGGAGGCCTAGAACACATGCGCCTTGGGGCGAGGCGCGGGGGACGCCACGGTAGGGGATGGCTTGCTGAGGATCGGCCAGGCCGCCACTGAATCACCGAGGCACTCAGAGGCCTCCGCAGGCCTCCGAAGGGCGCCACCCTCCAGAGACCCCCGGGGGTCCCTCCGGAGCCCTCGGGGGCCCTTCGGACACACCCGGGGAGGGGGGGACCTCCAGAGGCCTCTGGGCTCCGCAGAGACCTCTGGGGGGTCCCGCCCCCTGGGCCGCTTCCAGGCTCCGAGGCCGGCCAGAAGACTCTACAGACAACCCGCATAACAGGGACGCACGACAGGGACGCAGGGGCCTCGGAAGGCCACGTCGACACCTTGCGGGCGGGGAGCGGCCAGCGAAAGCGGCCAAGGATGGGCCGAAGGGGAAGTATGCCAGGGGGAACTTGGAAAATTGCCCATCCGTACCAGGCGGGTTGACTCCACCCAGGACAGCAAAGAAGCCGGCCTCGGGGGCAGGGCCGAGAGCCCGGGGGGGGCCTGCGACTCGGAACGGAATGGCATCGCCCGGGTCGCCCGAGCTCTGGGCCGGCCCTCCCAGCCCAAACTAACCCGGGGCCTCCGATGCCTGGGGCGAGCGCCGGAGCTCTCTCTCTCGCGCGCCCCTGCCCCCGAGGACCGCTGTACTTCGCCCTGGAGCGATGTGTCGGACGGCCCCCAAGGCCCAGGAGCCGAGACCCCCCCTCGCGTCGACAGAACAAAAAAAAAACAAAAAACAAGCAACGACTGCATATATTGAATGTCTTCGGCCACGGCGGGTACCCGGGACCGCGAAAACTACCTGGGGTGAAAAGCTGGTCCTATGCCGGCTGGACCGAGACCTCCTGGGGTCGACGCTATGAAGGAATCACGCCGTCGAAGGTCTGGGGACGCCCCACAGGAGCCGAAGGCGGCGAACAGAACTCCGCCTTCATGTTATGCTGGAGATTGGGCCATCTGGGGATGAGCATCTCACCACCACAACCAGCCTGAGGGCTGCTCCATCTGCGGGCATGAGGGGTGCGAAGTGCAGACCCCCCCACAGGAAGGGAAGGCCCTTGGCATTCCTCCTCCTACTCCTCCTCCTCCTCCTCCTCTTCCTCCTCCTCCTCCTCCTCCTCCTCTCCTCGTCCTCCTCCTCCTCTCATCATCATCCATCATCATCATCATCATCATCATCATCATCATCATCATCATCATCATCATCATCATCATCATCATCATCATCATCATCATCATCATCATCAGCATCATCATCATCATCATCATCATCATCATCATCATCATCATCATCATCATCATCATCATCATCATCATCATCATCATCATCATCATCATCATCATCATCATCATCATCATCATCATCATCATCGCCTGGATCGCACAAGTGGCAGAACTGGCACATGGGCCCATCCGCGCACCCCTTGCTGTGCACAAAGGCGCAGGGCTTGCAGCGCCCGACGCCGTGGCTGGCGGAGCCGACGCTGGGAAGCTCCTGCGGGGAGGGCCCTCGGCTGCCCGAGGAAGAGAAACAGGGAGTTTGAAAAAACAAAGGGTTTCAAAAATAATATGTTTTAAAAATTCTGGGTTGTCGCGTAGTTTGGAGCGCCGCGCCAGGGCGAGCCACAGAACTAGGATTTAAACAAACTCAAAAAGGCACAGTGACCCGGCACTAAACAGAACTACGGCGTCCCCGGAAGTCCCGCCCGTCCCCGGGACCGGTTCTTCATCCCCCGAGTCGTTTTTTGACGGTCCCGGGGCCTGGCGAGGGGCCCCAAAGGCCGAAACTGGCGAAAAGCCTCCCGTCCGGACTCTTGTTACGACGCCATCATGTCTGGATTTGCACGTCACCAGCACTCGCTGGGGCCCCTGGGGGGCCCTCGGACACGTCCGCGGAGAGCTCTGGACACCCCCGGGAGAGACCCGCGGAGCCTTTCAGAGAAACCCGCTGGAGACCCCCGGAGAGGACCGCTCGCTGCACACGCGCACCTCCGGAGTGCATCCCCGCGCGGGCGCGAGCGTCCACCATGCGCCCCATTAGCAGCGCCTGGTGGTGCATCCGCGAGGAGAGGAAGGAGCGGGGTACTGCGCCAGAGGGAGCTATAGCCAGTCGCTCAGACTGCGCAAGTGGCATTAAGCCAGACGCGCACCCAACCGCCGAACTGACCCAGGCCTCCAACGTCTTGAAAATCACCATGCGATGTACCCAACCCAGATGCAAGACGTGGCCTGATGATATGTCAAAGTGTTACGGATAATGGCATGATTATGACTCTGACAACAATGTGTCGTGTAAGTAAGTTAGATGGTGGGCCGGCGCGTTGCACGACTCACAGGACAAGACGCTTGAGCGAGACGTTACCATCGAGAAAGACGGGAAGATGGGAAGAGACAAGAAAAGCGGAAACCAAAAGTGCGGGGTGTGAAATGCTGGGATACAACGTGGGATTTTGCGGACCTGAGAGACTAAGACTACCGCGAAAGAAAGCAGCGTTACGTCCGAGGGCACGATGCGCGCGCTCTGGCTCAGTCCAACAAGTACAACGAACTTGCGTACGCAGCGCGGTCCTTGGAGGCCCAAAAATGGTCCTGGACGGTTCCTAGAGGACCATGGATGGACCCTCGACTGGAGGGGGTGTAGGGATCAGCGAGGACGGAAAAAAGAGAGAGAGAGAGAAGAGAGAGAGAGAGAGAGCAAGGAATATAGGAAGAACTAAGAATGCAGGTGGGTACCACTCCAGGCACGGTCCTGGCAAGGTCGCAGCAATGTCTGCTCAAGGATGTCAGAACTCGGGGGGCGGCTGTCGAAGCTCTCCAGATCGCCCCAGGAGCGGCCCAAGGAACCTCAGGGCAGCTCCAAAAGGGCCCACGAATCTGAATCACGGCCCAAGAGCGCTCCAAGACGCCCAAGATGGCCCAAACACGGCCCAAGAGGCCCCAAAGGAGCCCCAAGAGCGCTCCAAGAGGACCCCGGCCAAGAGAAGCAAAAATCATCGATTGTTCTTGTGTTCTTCTATGTCTTTCGCGTCTCGCATTTTCGGCCTTCCGACGTTCCAAGATGGCCCCAGAAAAGACCGCACTAAGACGGCCCGAAAGGCCCGCAAGAGGGCACCAAGACGGCCCCAGAGGCATCCTCTCTCCCTCTCCGGCGCCAGCGCGCTCCGCGGGGCTCCTCCGAGCCCGGCGCGGCACTCGCCGGCGGCTGCGCCGCGCTCTCCGGCGCGCGCCGCGCGCCAGGGTGCGGGCCGGCCGCGTCGGGGCCGCCCGCGAGCAGGGAGTCCGCGAGGCGCACGAGGGTGGGGCCGCCGCGGCGCCAGGGCGGCGAGGGGCCTTCCAGGCGTCGGGGAACGACGACGACGACGACGACGACGACGACGACGACGACGACGACGACGACGACGACGACGACGACGGCGGCGGCGACGGCGGCGGCGGCGACGGCGGACGACGACGACGGTGGCGGCGGCGGCGGCGACGGCGGCGACGGCGGCGGCGATGTGGTGAAAGCTATGTGAAGTAAGCTATCTAGTGGAAACTGTGCAGCCTAAGCTATGTGGCGGAAGCTCTGCCACGTGGCGAAATCTGTGTACTGCAAGTCCATGAGAAGCGGTGGCCTGATACATACCACATCGCCTCGAACTCCCTAACATGTGACGGGCTGTAAGCCAGCATTGGCTCGTGGAACGGCATAAGGGTAAAATTCTTCAAGCATTTTGTTGAAGAACGAAAACAACATACACACTTTCGAAGGTCCGCGCGGATATCTTGGGCCGACCTGAATCCCTCTGGTGGAGCCTCAGGCGCCGCCCGAGGCGCGCTTCGCGCACCAGAGGGGAGGGCGTTCCAGCGCCGACCCGACGTCTCCGCGCGGACCTCCGAAAGTCGATGTTCGTGCTGCTGTCCTCTAAGGGCCCTCACACCCTGCGATCGTTAGAGGCCTCCCAGATGGGGTCGAAGTAGGTGGGATCGGAGGATCGCGCCGCATCGCCGATGCCTCGGCGATGCATCTGCGATGCATCTGCGATGCACTGGCGATGCATCGGCGACGTCGGCGATGCGTCGGCAACGTCGGCGAGGAGAAGACCACATCGAGCCGCATCGCCGATGCCTCGCCGATGCGGCGCGATATCATCGGACACCATCTACGCCGCCCCATGTGGGAGGCCTAGGCGCGCGCTTCCCAGGACTGCACAGTCGCGCGAGAAAATTGCTGGTCCCCTTGCCAAGCATAGATTTAGGTCGGGCATGTCCTCCTACAGGCGGAGTTTGGGAGGAAAATAAAACACATAATCCAAACAATAACAAAATTATTTGCTTGGGAACAAACAAGAACAAAAACAACAACCAACAAAAAAAAAAAAAATGACTATTTTCACTATTTTCGAATGTTCCTGCTGTATGTTCCTGCTGTAGAGGGACGTGCCCGACTTAAGCATAGATTGGCCCAACACGGATGCACTGTGGATGCAACATTGAGGACCACGACTCGCCTCAGAGCCATGGGCGTAAAAAAAACGCCACCGAGACGGAGAAACCCGCGCCCATGCGTTGGGATCCCCCCCGCGCTCCCCCCGATTTCAATGCTGAAAACGGGTGCCTGCGGGTTTGACTTGTGGGCGTTTGCTATGCCGATGATTACACTCCGACATCGACAGCGACGATAACATTGAAATGTGGGGCCCGCGGGGTGGCCACGTCGACGCAGCATCTTTGGATGGGCGGTTGTTCCGCCAACAGCGGCAGCACTTTCCATGGGCTCCTCACTTCGTCTGGGTGTCGGCGGAATGGCGTACACACCAGTCGGAAGAAGTGGGGAGAAACATGAAGCAGGAAGGCATTGGAAAGAGATTGAGCTTCCGCCCGCCCTCGCAAGCGGATGTAAGCGGAAAATCCGCTCGATCCTTGAAGTATGAAGGCGCTTACAATAGGCTGGGACCTGGGCATCCAAAAATACCTACTCTCGACGACTGGCGTGGGTCAAGAACGCAAGCCCCTTCGCGGAAGGCCCAAGGCCCCTGCCGAGATACCCCGCACGAAGAGCACCGTGTGAAAGGGTGGAGCGCCCAAACACGAAGAGCAGAAGGGCACCCCATCGAAGGCCAGTGCTGCTCTTGGCCCCCGTGCCAGCCGTGAGCCTCTTGCGCACCCCTGGGCCCTCCTCAGGCATATACCACTGAACCGACCTTGCAGAGGCGCGGCAGCAAATTTTCGCGTGGATTTCTCTCAATGCAGAACCCGGAAACGGCGAGCGAAAAACGAAGTGAATTTCGCGTGGATTTGTTTTAGTCTTCATTCTTGGCCAAAATAAATCCGCACGAAATTCACTTCGAAATCTGGAGCGAAATTCTCCGGAACACTCCGGGCCCATCCCATTATTTTCCGAACGAAATCCGCTCTGCGATGTTGGCGCCATGAGATATACTGACCTGGGCCAACGCAAACCCGGGTCAGTCGGGCCTCGCAGGATCCTGCGGGATCCTGCAGGATCCTGCACGCAAGCCCAGGTCAGTGCATAGAGGCCTCCTCGATGGGGTGCGAGTAGATGGGGTCGGGGGATGCATCGGCGACGTCGGCGAGGCATCTGCGCAATCGGCGTGGAAAAAATCGGGCTCCACATCGAGCCGCATCGCCAGTGCATCGGCGATGCGGCGCGATCCTCCAACCCCATCCACTCCGACCCCATTTAGGAGGCCTAGAGTGCAGCCCTGGCCATGCAGGATCCTGCGTAATCCGGCGCTCTGGCTGACCCCCGTTTGCGCTGACCCCCGTCCCTTGGGGCCCCGACGAACGCCGATCCTCGTCGCGCGTCGATCCTCGATCATCGATCATCGATCCTCCAGCCCTGCTTCGAGCAAGGCCTGTCCTCGACTCAGAAAAAGAAACCACGGCATACACATAGACCTCTGGCTCCCCGCGCGGAACGCCAAAAGTTTATGCTCATATCGCTGTTCCTTCTTCGACGACTGCCGAACGAGGCCCATCCTCGACCCTCGATCTTTGGAGTCCCGAAACGGTGTGGTGACAGACCGTGCGGTGACCTCGAAATCCCCCGAGACCTCACCGCACGGTCCGTCACCGCCCGGTCTTGGGACCCCAGATGCCCCTGTCGCCCGAGACATCCTCGGAGAACGACACGAGTCCCAAAACCGTGCGGTGACCCCGAATCCCCACCCCGTCACCGCACGGTGTAATCACCACCCCGTTTGGGGGCCCCCGACGATCCCCCGAGCCTGGGCACGGCGCCGGGGGCACCGCCGCGGGGGCGTGGAGGAGCACGGGCGGCCGCACGGGGGCGGGGGGCAGCACCGCGGCTGGGTGCGGCCACAGGACCTGCTGGCACTCCGTCTCGCTCCAGCCGCTCCTGTGGGCGGCGGGCGCGGGGGGGGGAAGGTGAAGGGGCCCTGGGACACACAAATAAACACACATAAATAAAAGGATGCCCCATATTTTCCCATATTGTCCGCGTTTATGTCTTCCCCCCCGCTTCCCATATTTTCCCATGTTTTCTAGGGAATCGGCGATTAATTGTGTTTGTGTGTGTGTGTTTTCCCCTCCTGGGAAATGAGAAAGGGCGGGCCTTCTCGGAAGGCTCAGAAGTCCCCTGGCCTTCCGAAAAATGCTCGAGGCCTCCCCCGCAGACTAAGGCAAAGACTCTCAGGAGGCGCGAGGGCCTCAGAGTCCTGCCGCCCTCTGAGAAGGCCTCCTCCTGTTCGCTTCCTCCCCTCGCTCGCCGCCGATCCTGGGGGGGGACAGAGCGAAGGAAGGCAGCGAGGGCCGCAGGTCCTGCCCGGTTTTTGAGCACGGCTCGCGGCCCCGGCTCCGCAGCGGGCCGTCGCCCGTTCGGGGCGGACGTCGTCTGCCCGCGGGCGGTCGTTGTCTGAACCGTTGGGCAGCGTTTGCTGCTGGCCGCCTTCCCCGTCGGCAGTGCCCATGGGAAAGCCGAGGAGAGGTGTGCGACCGTAGTTTTCCGTTTCTGTTATACTGATGGGCCCGCGTGGCCCTACAACGCTCCTGGGGAAACGTGAGACGAAGCCAAGACTGAAGGGGCCCAGGGACACACAAATAAATACACACAAATACAAGGATTCCCCATATGCTCCCATGTTTTAAATGGGTTTTCGTCTTCCCCACACTTCCCATGTTTTCCCATATGTTCTGGGAATCGACGATTAATTGTGTCTGTGTGTTTCTTTCCCTCCTGAAAGACGAAGACCTCACCGATCCTGGACAGGGCCCCTCCTTCGGCTGCACGCCAGGAACGACCCTGGGCAGGAGGGACCTCGGATGCGCGGCTCTTCGGGGGCCGCGGGGGAGGCCAGACGCCAGCAGGCCGAGGGCGCCCGCCCTTGCTGGTGGGATCCCGGTGGGTCCGCAACAAGTGATTAATCAAAGAAGAACCCCTAACCCATTTGGGAGGGGGCCAAAGTTAGGAGAGTCAAAGACATAAGGGATTGAGTGTCTTTTCTGCTGATGCATCAGACCACACCGCCCAGAAGTACAACCTCTACTAATGCGAAGACGGGGACCTAATTGAGACCAAGTCTTCGTCGGTTAGGCGTTCCTTTGTTCTCGATAAGCACAGGTCACTCTGGCGAAAGGCCACTAATACTTTTTTACGTCGGCGGCTCGGGAGAATCACTGCGCTGGCGAGGAAGCGAAACGGGGCTGCCGATAAGCGAATTGTGCCACCATGCAAGGATCGAATCAGCTCGGATGCGGCGTCAGCCTTTGCGAGAAGTGATCAGCTCCTTTCTTCTCCACAGCAGCGCGAGACCGCGCACATCCACAGTGCAAGTGTGAAACATGGCTGGCCGCCTGAGCCAAGGCGGCCACGGGCGAAGGGGAGGGACATCAGGAGAGGGCCAGGACCGCGTTCTTCGACTCTGGCACCATCTCCACGTCGCAGACGCCTCTCCCCAGCAACAAGACATCGACGTAGTACACGTGGGAGTGGCTGGTCAAGAACAGGTCGTCCACGAACATCTCGATTGCCAGAAGATCAAGATCAGGCGTCAAGACAGCATTCGCACAACAAGATCGAGATCAAGTGTCAAGACAGCATTCGCACACAGTTCATAGCAAGAAAGTATAGCTCAAGCCATGGGCCCGTGCTATCTCCTGAGGAGGAACTTCCCTACGTTGAGCACACACTGGGGTTCGGCCACACATGTATATGATCCTTTGTTGTCATGCGCCACTGTCCTGTGCCGAAAGCCTCCACAACAGCACTTCGGGCACCTCCACCTTTTGTGAATGCATCACAAAGCATATCTCTGGTGTCACACATGAGCAACGCAGTCAATGAACCACACTCAAGTCTATCTCGCATAGCACGAACCGCATACAACTGACTCCGATCGTTTGGCATTGCAATTTCTTCGGCAATGATGGCCGCGAAAACAGCGTGGGCATCACCCACAAGATAGAAGCCGATCTCAATAATAATGGGGGTGACGGCCTCATGCAGCTCTTTCGCACCACGAGATCCTGTAAGAACTTGATGCCAGAAACCGCGGTGCAACATGCCCAACTCACACGCCTCCAACTGGTTGGTTAATTCCGCTCCGGAAGTACTGCGCGTCACTCTCGGCTGCGTGCGACTGTAATATCCAAGCACATGCATTGACCCACCAGGAATGCCACTCCTGATTTCAATCAGCACCAGAATAGCAGCTCGAATTGCCAAACAGTCAGCAGAAGTGGCTCCAGTCGGGCATATTTGACGCTGAACGGCTTCCTCTTGATCCACTTCAATAAGATGTTGAGGCCCTTGATGTCACCAACCGCAACATCAGCTCGCGCGAGAGTAAGCCAAGCCACACCACCCAGAAGACTCCAGCACATGCCCTGCAACGTACTATCGACCAACTCCTCATGAAGCTTGCCAGTAACCAACGCCACGTTGATCGGCCAAAGCTGGGACACGTAGTGGTCCTGGTCTATCGTGGTGGATTTGTTTGCTTCATCTTGAGAGTGCTGGATGCCAACGCACTCGAACGGCGCGATGTTCACCGTCACGCCCTCGTACTTCTCACGAAACTTATCGGATATCCACTCACGCGTCTCATCACTACAAGCACCCTTCAGATCACCCACATGAGTGCCAAGAACCTCCAGCAGCACAGAGTTGTCGAACAGCAGCCACAGCTGTCGGTCGGCCTCCGTCGGGAAGAACCCCAGCTCCGTCAGTGTTTCCGACAAGTCAACCTGCCACGCCCACGGGGCATCATTCGTGCCGAAACCATGCTTCTTCATATTCAACGCCTCCATGAAACTCGTTAAAGTTCTCAAATCCTTCTATCTGCATCAGCAACGCAGCGCCATCAGGAGGAAGGTCAAACTGAAGACTGCGCATCTGGAATCCAAAACGTTCAGCGAGCTCCTGGAACGTTTTGCCACGAAGAAACGCAATCGAAACGTCGAGCGACCACAACGTCCAGCCATGCTGAGCTGCAATAGAACAGATCGCTCTCTGACCCCAGCGAGAAGCAGCCCCAGCAGCCGTCCGCATACGGTCCTTCTCGTGCTTCTGCCAGTCCTTAAAACCTCTAACGGTAAGACGGCCCGTAACATCGCGCTGGCCTCCAACAGTCTCCCAGTTGACTACCCAGCGCGAGTCGATGCGATTGTCGGCGCCCTTCTTGTTCATGCGCCCAATGACCCCGCGAGACACCCAGCGCGTGAGCTCCTTCGGCTTGGCAGCAACAACCAGCTCGTGATGCTTTCTCATCTCTGCTGCCGAGAGGTCATTGAGGTCGCGCTCGATGACCGGCGAGGCCTGGGCGTTGAAAACGTTCATTACCACGCGTGATTCTCAGCTACCTTACTCGGAGTGAGCCCAAGTCGCCAAGCCTGTCTGCGAGGAAACTCAATGCTGATGGGCTCGTCCAGGTCCGCGGCCGTAAGCTCCACCGCCAGGACCTGACCAACAAAGCGCACATGAGCGGCAGAGGAGGCTTCCCTTTCCATGAAGCCAAATGCCCAGAACAGGCCCTCCTGCTCAGCATCTGCATCCTCGTCATCAGCTCCAGCACTCGGTTCCGAATCAGCAACTCTCGCAGCCTCTGACGACTCGTCGGGAACATGTGGCAGACAGGGGGCAACGTGAGGCCGAGGATTGCCACTCCCATCCAGGCCCACAGAAAGCTGCCTCTTGCGATGACCCGGCAGTACAATAGCATCCTGGCGGTCCAAACAGCAAGCCATGTTCTGTTGCTCATCGTCAGAGCGTTCACTTCTAGGTCGAAAAACTCCAGGCAGACGAGCACCAGGGGGCAGCACACCCTCATCAGGATCGAACTGCTCATGCATGCGCCCGAGGTGTGGGACACCAGGAACCACTTGCCGAGCCAACTCGATGTCCTCAAGAGAAACAATGAAGAACTGCAGGGAAACCATATTGCCAACCGTCGCCGGATAGCGTAGGAAGAGACAGTCGTACAGTGCCAAGAGCTTGCTGCACATGCCAATCGAGCGGACAGCCCGACTTCCAAGAGAAGAGCAGCGTCTCGTCAACACCCGGCATGCATCCGAGGTCCTTGGCACCGTGTCCCAGACGGCCACCGCTGCAACCCTGAAGTCGCAGGTCACACAACGCAACATGCAGCATGGCATCAAAGATGATGGGATACTTGGCGCGCTGTCTCGAAATCGTCCAGCCTGTCGAAGTACTCACACACACACACGCCACAGTGACAGCTCCCTTCTCGATACTCTCGGCAAACTCCTGCGCCAAAGTCAAGGGCATCTCCCAGCACTGTCGAAAGTGCTCGGTAGCGACCATCACGGACATGGCGAGCGCGTGGCGAACATCAGCCAAACGGCAGCTGATTGTACGAGACTGCCGCTGCACATCCACCACGCCTTCACTGATGCGATTGACGTTCACGATGGTCGCAGGGCCTCGCCAGCCCGAGACGTCCACGTTCGGCGGGTCCCTCCAGATGTTGACCAGATCTCCCAGCTGCAGGTTCTGGCAGTCACCCGCTGGGCGAGTGCGAGATTGGAGAGCACGATCCATGCGCTGATGAGATGACGAGCTCACAACAGCAGCAACAGCCATCTCACGGAGCCGATGAATATGGCGAGAGACCCCGTCGACACCGTCGCCCATGTCCTCCGGTGCCGCAGCAGAAGCGGGCTCTAGATCCGTCAGCATCGGCATGGTGCGGCCGAACACAGCCTTGTAGGGCGCGATATTGCCAGCGACGGTGATCATGCAGTTCTTGGCCAGCACACACTCTTCCAGAATGGCCACGTCGGGCACTGGAACTACATCACATGCACACTGCTCATCAACAAGATGCAACTGCTTTCTCAATAATTCGCGATGCATTGCCACCATACGTGCATGAGCGCCTC